TACAACATAATACTCTTGAATACTCCCATTCAAAATCATAGAAGACACGAAAGGCGTCGAGTCACACACATCGAACACGATCATTGAGACACGTTCAGAACGATCCTTCACGAAATATGCGAGAATTACATGGATGGGTTTTTTTGCATCGATGCATATTGGTGGTCCGTGGCGTAGTGGCTTCTTAAGTGTTTTGTGACACTATATCATTTTTATCTAGAATATCCTTTTCACCCCTTAATTCCTTCGCTAAACCGGTCTTGATACTCCCAAATCGATATTGTTGTTACTCTATTATACGTGTTACACATCCGATTGATATAAACAGCTACTCTTACAATTCATTTTTTTAATTTCCTTTTTTTTTTCTTTCTTTCTTACATTTGTCACGTTCCACGGTCTGTTCTATCTTTTTCTTCTTTCCCCGATATATTTTCTCTTTGTGTACCTTTTTTTCACGTACGTAAGCCCTCCACCCTCAGTTGCGTTACGATATTATTATTAACCAAAGTGTGTAGATGAGTCTCGTGTTGAATGAAGCACCACTTGCTCCCTGTTTCGACCCGACCCCTACGAAAAGGGATGGCAAAATCATTAAGACGATCGCCGCGCCGGTTGATGAGCAGCTTCGTGCTCGTACAATGATACGATGCTTCCACCAAGTCTGTGTCTTGAACTGTTAACTGTTAATTGGTATTCATTTTCATATACGCATCTCTAAGTATATATAATATATATGTATAATGTATATATTATACAATCACCGAACCCGCCCGAATTCGTTTAACCGCTTCGCCAGCCTCGAGTGGGCAGCTTCGTAGCGAACTGTTGCCAATGACCATGTCAGAGCAGAACCGTAAGAGATAGAAGAGAAAAAAGAAAAGGAAGTGAGATGATAATGATAATTGTAAAGATCACGAGAGTGCGCCGCGTCCGGCAGCGTGTTGCACGATTGTTCAATTGTAATCGTTTGATCATAAACGCAGAGAAAGACAATTGGCAATTGACGAGTTTCACTGGGGTCAGGTGTGAGTGTGCTCCCTGCTCTCCCTTTCAGTGTTCCTAGAGTAAGGCCAACCTTGTATTGATATGAATCAGAAACGCGATCGATCGATACGAGCGACACCTCATGAGTGATCCAACTGGAACACGGCGTTGCCATTTGCATGCTATCGTATACATCTATATATAATTATATATAATCTATCTATATATAATTATGAATCGTTGATTGCCCGTTTCGACTGTGCGTCCACCATTCACCCAATAAATCCATGGGAAAAGAGCCTCGATGCGATCATTCGAAGTCATCATTCGAGAGAGAAATGGGAACGTATCGTTTCACCACACGAGCCTGAAATCTTCCTGTTCAATGTCTTCGTTCGAACTGGACGCAAGGCAAGTCGTCCGACACAGTGAATCGCGCTGAAGACTGCTCCATTTACGAAACGATTATTGAACGTGTGAGCAGCCCGTGTAGATGATCTCGGTGAGCGAAATTTTCTTACATCTCGCTTCAACGAGCAATTAAATCATTGAAACAAAACGACGATCATGATCGTCGACATCTTGTCAAACTCATCGAGTTCTTCTTTGAAATCGTTTTACTAGTACCTGAATAAAGTACCTGGTAGCTTGGACGTAAGTACCCGAGACTTCTTGGCAACGTCGCGTAAATTGCATGCGATGTGTTGCTGAAGCCATCGTTGGATGTTTCTGAGGTGTTCGTTCGTGATCCTGACCATGGCGATTCCTGCGCTGCTTGCTCGTTCTATTTGTTCATTTTATCAGATGAAAGCAGATTATTTATTCGAATGTTCTTTGGAAAAGTGGTAGCAGCGCAAAAGATCGTCATGGTACGTCTGGAACGAGTTTGAAACAGCAGGAACTTCTGTTTCCTTTTGCAGCTTGTCCGGTTGTCCGCGTGCCGATCGTTCGCAGATCCAAGCGCATTCTCAGGAGCTCAAGTGTCCCACGCCAGGATGCGATGGTTCCGGACACGTGACCGGCAACTACTCGTCCCACAGAAGTTTGTCCGGTTGTCCACGGGCTAACAAACCGAAGAGCAAGCCTCGAGACGGTCAGGACTCAGAACCGCTAAGGTTTGTCATCGATGACGTTCTATCGATCCTTAAACTCTTCGAAAAGAGCAAACCCCCTCCGTCTTCTGAATATCTTCAAACTAAAGCAAATGTCAAATTTCCAAGCTAATCTTTGTAAAAATTTTCTCACATGTGTCTGGTAAGTGTACCTCTATCGTTTGTTAAATTTCGATGCCTGTCTATTGTCTACCACTTATTATAAATAGACGTAATGCAAATGATTAGAAAATTTATATTTTTTTATTGTCAAAAAAATATAATGGCTTTTGTACTATTTTATGAATGATAATAGAAGTATTGAATATTAACAGTCATTGTACGTACAGATCGACGCGATAAGCGATAAGTATACTTACCAGCTATTTATCGATGGGTTAACTCGTCTTCGCTTTGAAAATCGACGAAATTAACCGCCATGGAACTAACCCTAAATCAGCGCGATTGACTTTCGTAGATTTGATCGAGATTAGCGGAGAAAGATAGAATAGAATTAATTGAAAGGGATTCCTAGTCTCTTGCAAACTCTGCAACTTGCGTCACACGTAATCGCGATCCCAATTTGCCGTTTTCACTGTGTCCACCACGTGGTTGCACGCAGCTACGTGGATATCTTGCTGACCGCATTGCACGTGCTAAGATCCCCCGGCGAACCGAAAAGGTACATCCCATCCCTTTCGACGGCGGTGTCCCCTTAAACCCCATCCGCTTCCTAAACGCAAAGACGAAGACGCTGACTAATAACCAGCGGTTTCCGCTCGTTTCATGCTCGCTCTTTCACACTGTGTGGATGGATTATATGGTGTTGGTAATGGTGATGTTGGCATTTCGGGCAACAGATGTCCAATCCCCGGTTGCGACGGCTCTGGCCATGCCACTGGCAAATTCTTGTCGCATCGCAGGTAAGCTTTCCTCGCGGTATTTTATGGAAGAAGAAGGAGAATAAGAAGAAGAGTAAATATTATAATCAAGGGCTTAGAAGACTTTTCTGAGAAGTATTTTTCTAAAAGTGGTCAATGATTAAGATGGCTAAAGATGGAAAAATTTTTAATGAATGTCACATCAAGTCAAGACTAATTAGGGATCGGAGAATTTTGAAAAGAAATTTTTAAAACAGTGCAGTATTCAAGATAACTTCGTGTCTTCCATAAAGTGTTCGCGCAGAAATTGATCGAGAAAAATGTTAAAAAATATTTAAATGCTCAAATGTTTGATCTAGATATAACCAGTTGACAAGTACTTCATTTTCTATTCAGTACAATATCAATTCTATTCTTCTGGAACCTAGCTACTTTTATTAGTAATTACATCACAAAAAAAAAAATTCTACAGAACATTCTACACAATTCGTACTACAAATTGTAAGAAGACACTCTTCCTTTTTTATCCCCTACAAACACAAAAATATCCTACTAAACGACATGTCCGTAATTGCGATAACAACGACTTGTTGCAGCGCATCGGGCTGCCCCATTGCAAACAGGAACAAAATGCGTGTACTAGAATCGGGAGGCACGGTGGAACAACACAAAGCAGCGGTGGCCGCAGCGACGGCGATGAAATTCGAAGGTGTGAACTGTCCGACGCCAGGTTGCGACGGGATCGGCCATATAAACGGCTCGTTCTCCACTCACAGATCTCTGTCAGGTTGTCCGATAGCTGGCCATGCGGTGAAGAAGCCAAAGTTCGAGGACATGTCGACCATGTACAGCAAAGGAATCACCGGTGAGGATCAAGCTGCCGTTCATGTCTTCGATTATCGACGCGCATCGTTATTAATCGAAGAATAAAAAAACAAAAAAAAAAAAAAAACAGAACAAAATGAAAGGAAATCAGATCGGTTGGCTCCTCGTGAACGAGTCGACAGTAGCAATTGACACACATTACCAATTATTGAGAAATTTGTTATTGTAAATTCGTGAGATCTCATTCACGTCGAGCTTCAATGTTGCGACATGTGATTGCCTGCCACGGTGGCCAGAAGCAGAAAGAGTAGGCATGATCATTACGAGTTTGCCTTTTTATTCTTTTCTCGCGCCGTACTCGTCCAATATAATTCCTTTTTCTTCCTTTTCTTTTTCATTGGCTTTCGCGTCAGATGATATATTTGAAAAGGATACATTGTGTGGAATTAGTAATTCGTTAAATGCGCGAATCGTTGCACTTTGGACGAGTCAGTGGCAAAAAAAAAAAAAAA